GGGTTAAAATGTCCCCCATCCTAAGTTTTCCTTTAAAATGCTTTAAATTATATAAATACATAATTTTTTTGTCACAAAATAACTTAGTATTTCTTGCTCCATATTGTAAATCTTTTTTGCCATCCAAAAACATGTCCAAGTATTACAAAGCCATCATTCAAGTCAATTAATACCCTCATGTTACAGCCACAGAGGGATTGTTCTTGACGTAACACAGTTTCAAACATTCATTTCACTTCCTAGAAAGAACTTTCTGATGGATTTTGAAAAAATACCCACTGAAAGTGATGAAAATTTAAATACCATTCAAACACAAATATGGGAAATGATCCAGCACTGAGATGATGTCAGAAGAGAGGAGAGGGACAATTCATCAGGAACTGCAGTGACAGGGCAAGGGGGAATGGATTCACATTGAAAGAGGGGAAATTTAGATTGGATATATGGGAGACATTGGTGGTGAGTGTGGTGAGGTGCTGGAATGAGATTCCTAGAGAAGCTGTGGCTGCTCCTAGATCCCTGGAAGTGTCAAAGGCCAGGGTGGACATTGGAGCTTGAAGCAGCCTGGGATAGTGGAAAGTGTCCCTGCCCATGATAGGAGTGGCACTGGGCTTTAAGGTCCATTCCAACCCAAACCATTCCACAATTCTATGATTTTATGTGAGACACATTTTTCTGCCATTGCTGCAGCTGACTGTTCTGTCAGAGTTTTCAGCAATAACTGATACCATGTCTACCACAGGCAGAAGCTACTTTTAGTCAATGTGAAGAACATCTTAGCACACATCTGAATTTATATCCATAAAGAAAACGTTTAATTGTCCAGTGTAAAGTTCCTGCACAACCAAGTAATTTATTCCTGCATCCAGGGGCTATTTTGTCACCTTTTTAAAAAGTCTACACATGTCCAAAAGCTCTAAAAAATTACATTCTCTCTTCCTGTTATATTCACATCTGAGACAAATATGCTTTCAAAGGGGAACTCTTTCCCAGTGAAGATCATGTAATGGTCAAAATGGTGTTAGGCAGTGGAGCCTGTGGTGGGCTCTGGGATTATTGTGGGCATGTCTGGAACCACATTTTTAAAGGAAGTAGTCATTGGAACAAATAGCTTAACAACATCTGGTGGTTCTTAGATTAAGTTAACTAAATAAAACTGAGGACCTACTGATCAAAGAAAAAGAAAAAACAATCCTCATCTGGATTTTTCCTAATAAAAACCCAGGAATTTTTGTGTCATGGCAGAGGCTTTACAGATGGAAAAAGCTGCAATTTTTCTGTTAATATAACCAAATGCCACTGATGTGTTTGTTAAGATATGAAAAATTATGCTAATGTAAAGAGTAGGCAGGTGCAGGAGCAAAATATTTTAATAACATTTATGCAGAAAACTATGTAAAACTTCCAAATTATTGCTTTTATAGCATTTCAAACACTTGTCATTTGAGATTTCTGAGTAACACCTGCTACAGGCAAAAATAAATTTGTACTTGATATGCTGAGAGGAACATTTTCAGTGGGAACAAGGGTGTAAGTCCCTTCTTCAGCACTGATAAACCACTAATATAAAAAACATGAAAAACTTCTTTCTGAGGGTAGGAAATGGGAGCTGCAGTTCATTTGCATGGAAAGGGCAGATGCAGTGAAGCAGGAGGCACTTTGGCTGGAAAAATGGCATCAGCTGGCTACCATGAGTCTTTTCCTTGGCATAAGAGGCTGTTGAAATACAACCTCAAGAGAGAGGAGACTGCTTAAGTAGGGCTTTTTCCCCTCTGGCCATGGAATCTGACGTTTGCCTGTCTTTTCTCAGTCAGTAAATCACATTGCATGGATTGAGTGGATGTATTTTCTAATTTTCCTATCATTCAACATCTACATCACATGTTATATGTGATGATTACCAAACTTTCCTTCTCAGTTAATTGTTGCTTCCAGCAACATTCATCTAAGCCAAAGTTTCTAAAAACTTAGGAGCATTTTGCCATTAGCATTTGGGGATATTTTGCTGATAATTTTTCAAGATTACTTTATCAGTGCTATATCAGCTATACAAGGGAAAATAATTCTAGCTGTGATTTATATATTATGAAATGTTCCCTAACAACTGAAATGAAAAAACACTTCTTATTGTAGCACAGTACAAGAACACAATTTACAGGATCCAATGATCAGGGCCATTGACTTGCCTGTGCTAACTAGGTCAGACCAAATCTTGATTTTAAGTGTAGTCTGCAGCAATAGTATGGGAATATCCTCTAGGTCACTTTTGGTTGCTTGAGTTTTTCCCAACAAACAATAATGTTATATTGATATCACTTCCCTTTTCTTATTGACTGCAGTGTTCCCTGTTTCTGTTTACCAGTGTAAATGCAGGAGAAATTTTAAATTTATAATTTAATTAATTAATTAATTAATCAATCAATTGCAAATGCAATAAGAGAGAAAGTCTGTTTTCTTTGGCAGTGAAAAAAATTTGAGAACCTGAATAGCCTGATGCTTGGGGAAAGGCTCAGCACAACATAAGACTGAGCTTCTTTAAGGCAGCAAAAGATACAACTTATTGAGCTGTTCAGTTTGGCATTACTGATCATATCCTGGTTTGTTTATATTGATCAATTCCATCTGGCATTATTGGTCATGTCCTTGTTTGTGTTCTATTGATCAATTAAATTTGGCATTATTGGTAATGCCCTGGTTTGTGTTCTGACCTGAGAGATGACAGAAGCTCAATGAGATGATTTTATCCTGCTCTGATATCAGTGTGCTTTACAGCTGAAATTTAGGGTATTTTTGTGGTAGTTTCTTTCAGCCTTGGGCTTTATGAAGCAGAAACTTGAAGCAAAATTCTGGGATGGAATTGGTGTTTCTGTTTTGGTCACAAGCAGCACTCACTGAAGGTATGGGGGGAGGCAGAGAATATTCCTGAAAAGCAGCCCATCCCTTTCCTTGCCATCACAAATTTTCTGGAGAAAACACTGAGTGCTGGGCTTCAGACTACAGGGGGAACAGTGAGATTGATCCCTAACTTTCATACCAAGATGGTGAAAACAAATTGTGATTACAAATCACAATAAATTAAGTCTATCTGGAAACTTATTCCTTCACTGAAAGCAGATTGCTGCTTTTCAGCACAAAATTACCACACAGTTACTTGGCACCTGACTTGTTTGTTGGTCAGGATGATGTTTGTTATGTTTACATGATATATTTTTTTACATTCTGACATTATTTGTCTGTTTTACAATATACAGTGTGATAATTTGTTTCATCAGTCCCTGGGAAATGAATAGCCAGGGGTTTCATAGTTTAACAAACATATTATCTATATTGGCTGCTGAATTATATGAACTTTTTGCAAATCTTTGTAATAAAAAAAAGAAATAAAAGACTTATAAAATTAGCTTATAATAATTCATCATAGTTTTGTGAATAACATTACTTGAGATTATTTTGTTTTCTTTTAATTTACACAGTGATAAACTTTTTAGTTAGATTTTTTTAGCCTTAGTTATCTTCCATCCTTCAGTTTTAAAACTCTTTAATTTCTCCATTCAAATAATTTTCTTAGTGTTTATCATTTATTCACAACAACTCTGCTATATTAAAATTACTATCTGAGAACAACAATACCACAGTCTTCATGATACCCTCTTTCTTATGAATATAAACTGCTTCTTGAACAAAGACACAGTTGCACTTGCAGACTGTAATATAAGTAAGGAGAATATACTGGCATGTGTTTGCAAGTCACCCAAGGAAGCAGTGGGAAAGAGGGAACTTTGAAAGTCTTGAAATTTCAATGGAAAGTGTGCCCTGCATTATTTACAAGGGCCTGGAGGGGCAGAACAAGGGGAGCAGAGCAGGGCTGGATGGGATATTGGGAATTAGGAATTGCTCCCTGGCAGGGTGGGCAGGCCCTGGCACAGGGTGCCCAGAGCAGCTGTGGCTGCCCCTGGATCCCTGGCAGTGCCCAAGGCCAGGTTGGACACTGGGGCTGGGAGCAGCCTGGGAGAGTGCAAGGTGTCCCTGCCATGGCAGGGGGGGCACTGGATGGGCTTTAAGGTCCCTCCTGAACCAAAGCAGTCTGTGACTCTTTGATTAAGGGTAAATAATCACAATCAGCTGCTTCAGTCCCACCTATCCATCACACATCTCTAACACCTATCAGTGTTTCAGCTCCATGAAAATGTGGGTTGTTTGTTGGTTTTGCTTTCATTCCAGCTTAGCCTGTGAACCCCAACTGGTTCTGCTTTTTGTTGGTCATTGTTGATCAAGCGGTGGGAAGGGAAATTTTTCAGAGAATGCAATCACTGAAATGTTCCTTTGCAACACCATGGGCTACAGCCCTCCCTGCTCCCTGTGCCATTTGGATTGTAAATAACTTTCCCAGGGAGACAGATGTGAACCCTACATTGCCCTGCTGCCAGCAGTGGTGAGCTGTGTGATCACCAGTCATGTCACCCTGCTGCTCATGCATTGCCATTCAAAGACCACAGAACAAAATAAGAACGATGCAGAATAAGTTCTGCAGCAGTTCAGCAGTTTGGCTGATTTATTCTCCAGTGTTCTGTGATATATTTGTCCTGTATTTTTATAAGGTCTGCATGTTTATGTCACATTTCTCCTTAATTTTAATTATGTGGCAAGTTGGTTCACTCATTTTTGAAATAAAAGGGCAAGGAGACCTGCTCCTTTTGGATGCCTTTATTAAGTGATCAGCTCTGGGTGGGGGCCCGAGGGGTCGCGCACACCGCCGCTGCTCCCTTCAGCGACGCAGAGGAGGAGAGAGGCAGTTTTGCTTGGCAGCAGAACTGGGGCTTCCATCCTCACGGGCGTGCCTAGGAAAGCAACTCTTGCTCTTGTCTGGGGTCCTCACCCTGGCTCAGTTCCAGTAAGGTCACGGTGACACTCAAAGCTTTGCTGGTAGAGTAGGGGATCTTCCTGCCAATAGGGCTCATTGCTTAGTTTGTTAAATTTTCAGCTCGTTCTTTGTTTCTAAGGCCCTTCGTTGGAGTTCCTAGAATGTCTCTTCATCTGCAGATTCCCCGGGGGTGTTATCCTGCGCCATCTTAGAGAGCAGGGGAAGCACTGCCCGACGGAGGCAACAGAGATATCAGTAAGGTAGGGGATTAAAAGTGTAACATTCAACAACTATTAACATTTTTTAACTGGTTACAATTTCGAATTATCATCCAACACCTCTAATTGTATCAACTTATGAACCCATTCCCAACAGTTGCAATTTCAACTTAACATTTAACACTTCTAATTGTATCAACCTCTGAACTTGTTCATAACAATTTTCCTCACTGTATGCATCTTTTGCAGATTTGGTTTACTTTTCCCTGAGATTTGAAAAGTAGAATTGATCATACATTCCAGAAAATAAAAGTAATAAAATAATTTTAGTCACTTACTAAATTTCCCGCATGAATTTCTGAATGGATATTATTTCTGGGTAATGTCACCTCCAAAATATCTTTTCCTTCCAATTCATTTAGGGTCATATATTGATAAGGAACAAATTTTTCTTTAGTAAAGCTCTCCAAAATCTGTGACCGAATAATGACTTTTTTTCTGGTTATGATGACATTTTTTAATGGGTGAGAGAATTTTTAATAAAGGTTGTGCAGAAACTAAAGAGAGACGGGCACTCAGCCAAACATAGCATTCTGGTTTTGCATCACGGAAATGATGCAAAGAGAAGCTGCTAGCAGTTTCCTCCGTGTCTGACAAAAAACCAATCAGTAATTAGCTTTAAGAATTGACAATCTGTTAAACCACTGAGAATGCTGATACACCTCTGTGAACACCTATGTAAAAATCGAAAAAGCCCAGGAGGGCCCTTCCCCTTCTAGTCAACGATGAAGTAGCAAGGCCCCTGTCTCAGCCGAGCCGGGCCGGGCCGGGCGGCCCCTGCCGCAGGCCGGGCCCCATCAACTACCAGGCAGGGGCAGGGGAGGCCGCAGGGCCAAAGCCAGGCCCGGCCCCAGCAGATGCAGGGTGGGGAGAGGGAAGAGGGGAGAGGGGAGAGGGAAGAGGGGAGAGGGGAGGCCATCAGCCGCTGAGTCCAAACCTGGCTGCTGAAATGCTTGCCGCTTCTCCGTCCGCCGCCCCCTGCCCCCGCGGCGCGACTGCTGAAAAAAACCCAAAAGCAGCTCTGCAACCCATACAGAAAACAACCCGAAGCCAAACCAACTCAGCAAAAATTCTACCACCATTAAAATTCACCCACAACCACTGGGCAGAGGGGAAGAAAAGCCATCAGCCCCAGCGTGCTGGCTGCTAAGTTGTAGCCTAGCTATTAAAATCCTAGCTGCTCTCACCTCTCCAATCCAACCCCAATTCCAGCCACAAACGACTAAGCCCAACCAAAATTACATAGCCGTATACAAAGCCCAAACAAAATATTAACTCTTTAAGTACTTCAATCCACATTCAAATTTAAAAAAAAAAAAAAACCCACCAAAATAAATTAAAAAATCAAATCCCAGGGGGGAAAAAAAAAATTTTAAATGCCTTAATCTTAAGGCTAAAAGCCTCTTATAAAACTATAAAAAAATTAATCAGTTGAACTTTTTTCCCCTATAACATGTTAAAAAATTATAAGAAAATAAATTATTAAAACCTATATTAAAACAGCTATAAATTTAATAAGAAATTTAAACAAAAAAGTAATCACAAAACTGCCTATGACCCCCCAAACCTATTCCCAAAAATAAAAATAATCTCAAAAATAAATAAAAACCCCTTTATTTTTAAACAACTCATCCTTAAAATAATACCCCATAACTTAACATAGTCTATAAACACAACTATGAAAAAAACCTATTGAAAAACCTTAACAATCACAAATTTTCCCAAACAATTACTATTCATGAAAATTTAAAACCACAAAAAAACTATTATCTTATAAAGCAATCCCCATAAGTTTACTAAAAAAACTCCTGTCCCTAAATAAACTGTAAAAAGACTATTCTAAAAGTAAATAACTGCATTATTTCTCTACATTATAAGTTAAAAAAAATGTATAAGAAAAAGAAGTATTCTGAAATTTTAATTCTTATTATTCTTCCTTTTAGTTACAATTAATGAAACTTTCTTTATATCCTTTTAGTTTTAAACCTACTTCACCTTCCTCCTAATCCTATCTCACAACAAAAAAAATAAATATATACTAATAAATACCCTAACATTTAACCAACACTAAAATCCACCACATTAATTAATACATGAACCAAAACATCTCAAATTAGCAAATGCAAACCACTACACCTAGGAAGGAAGAGGGTGAAAGCTAAGCCATTTTTTATGTTCATGACACTTTTGCCTCAGATACTTTAGGGAGGGAAAAGAAGAAAGCTGTGTATGACTGGGTGTGCTACTGTGTAATTCTCAAATATGACTTACACATATCAAACTATAGAATATGCCAGGTTAATCAAAGTTATTAGAGAACATAGAAGGTTTCCCTTAGCTTTGCTCTACAGCGGAATGTAGGAGACATATTCAAGAAAAGCTCAAGTCACATCCACTCTGAACAGATTTTGTGTGATTGTAATTTGCTGAAGTAACCTTGAGTAGTGTGGATTATTCTGTTCAGTGTGTGGGCTTAGTGCTACAATACTGAAATATTTCATAACAATAGAAAAACCCTCAAACAAACAACAAAATCATATTTCTTGCCATCTCACATTTCCTCTATTTTGTTGGCACTTGCTCTTTTAGTACCCACCTGCCTCTGGTTCATAACATTTCTCTTTAATGATCTTGTTTATAGAATATCCATGCTGACAATTTGAAAACAGGTTTTAGTGATAAATTCTTTTTAAAGAGTAAATGTTCAATTAAATATGTAACCAGATATTAGTGCTACGTCTCCTTCGGCAGCAGCTTTTGTTTTACTTCAGCCTCTGGGCATACCATACTTCCCATATCACTTTTACTCAATTTGATCAACTATTCAGATTTTACAGCCATTATTTTGATGCCTTCCTGGCCTACGTTTCTTACATACTTGTGCACACAAAAGTTTCGAATAAGGCCTTGCTGCAATTAGAATTAAAATTAACATTAATGTCATGGAATCCCAGGCTGGGTCAGGCTGGAAGGTCCCACAGGGCTGCTCTGGTGCCACCTCCCTGCTCCAGCAGGGCCATCCCAGAGCACAGGCACAGCAGTGTGTCCCTGTGGCTCTGCAATGTCCCCAGGGAGGAGACTGCACAGCCTCTCTGCCCCATCTGCTCAGGGCTGGCACTGCCCAGGGCAGCAGCTCTGCCTCCTGGGCAGGGGCAGCTCCTGGGCTCAGCCCTGCCCGTGGCTCTGGGGCCATGGCTGGGCCCGGAGCAGAGCCTGGGCCTGCTCTGCCCTCTGCACACAGGGACACCCAGGGCTGGGCCCCTCTCAGCTGGGGCTCCTCTCCAGGCTGAGCAGCCCCGGCTCCCTCAGCCTTTCCTGGGCACCGAGCTGCTCCAGGCCCTTGCTCAGCTCCAGGAGCTCCTGTCCCTGCTGTGCTGTAAAAAAATTTACTTATATAACACTTGCTGCAATTTTTTATATATTTTTTACTTCATGCTTAGCACATAAACAGAAATAGTTGCAGGAAATAAGTCCAGCTACAAGTGTCTCATCTGTACCAGCATTCAGAACTCCTTTCTTCTCTTCTGATCTGCAGCTGCAGGAAAGGGGTGAACTGAGGGCTTTTTCCACAATGAAGCAAGGAACAAGGAGAAGTATCTCCATTAGCAGATGCTCTTGTGTTATGGTTTGATGCTGGTGCAATGTCAGTGCTTTCATGAAAATATATTCTTCTTAGTGGCTGCTGTGAGATGTGACTAGAAATAGTGCAAAGCAAAGCCAGTTTAAGAATAAAGGAAAAAAAAACTTTATTAACATACAAATATGTAAAAAGGAACAGACACAGAACTCAGAATGAAAACTTTCCAAACTATTCTTCCTCTTCTTTTCAGTTTCCACCATATCATTAAATAAAACCTTAGATTTTCAATCCCGTCACCACCTTTCAGATGATCAACTTTCAGTCCATCACTAGCCTGCAAACAATCAACTCTCAGTTCATCAAGGAGAGAGGAGTCCTTCTTGTACTACAGGCTTCTCTCAGAAACACAGTTGAAACTTTTTGTGTTTCTATGTTACTCTTGGTACTGCCCAGAGAACATTTGTCTTCCTGACATCTTCTTTTTATGTCCAGTGCTCTCACTACTGTGCACGGACTAGAACTGCTTTTAGGGTTTTTGTTTTAAGGATGCTTTGTCCAGTTCTAAAAAAGTAACAGTCTCTCACTTTTGGGACACCAGTCCCTCTCAAATTTACCCTCTGGGGCCAAGGGTCTTGTGAACAGAGATCATTTTCACTAAAGAAAAGAGGGCACCACCACATCTTCGTCATCCGTCTCTGTTCATGCTACTGCTTCACATAACATCACCGCACTTTTTTGGCTCTAAGGCATTGCCTCCCCCTAAATGTAGTCTCTGTGTCACAGGAAAAATGGATTTGTCTATGGTTGTACAAGAAAAGAGTCCAGCCAAAAGCCACTCTATCATCTCTTCCCACTTAGGATTCTTCTCAACTTCTTCTGACATCTTTCACTTGCATAAACTTTTACTACACTTGCTCATTTCTTCCTGTTTCATCTCTATCTCTCTTCTCATTCAGATCTAGGAGTATCAGTGTTTGTAAGGTCTCCATCATCTAAGAAAAGGGTTAAAATCTTGCCTGCCCAGAACCCTCATGGTGGCCGGGCATCTTCTTGCCGTATTCTCCCTTTCTCCTTCTCCGCTGGCTGTGCTGCCAGCACAAGATACCAAATTTCAAGGTAGCACAGGCACAGGCTCTCTTTCTCTCTCTCTCTTTTGGGGGGCCTGCTCGATGCTTCTCAGTGCTCCTCCACTCCTTCATCCTGCAAGGCCTTCACCCCCCTTTTCTGTCTAAGGTTCTGGCCTATGTCACTCTGGGCCACATGGCGTCTCCTCTTCCACCAGCTGCCCCGCAGCTGGGCAGGGGAGGCTTGACTTCGTTCACGGACCAAGAGAGTTTCCCTGAGAGTTCTCTGCTTTTAATCCCCTGTGTTCCCAGAGGTGGTCCATGTCTTTAGTGGTCACACCAGGTGCTAATATTCAAATCTGACTACTGACTGGTTTTGACTACAACTTCCCAAAAAACTCACTTTCTTATCAAACGAGGACATCTTGCTAATCTTTCCTGTGGTCCTTACAGTGGAAAAGTCAAGTTTGTGAATATTGCTATCACTTACATATTAGTTTTAAAAAAAGAAGGAAAAAAAAACCAACCAAAAAAATCCACAAACTAAGAGAGACAGGTTTGAACATCTGGGTGATCCACCTTTCTCTTGGATCCTCTCTCTGCTGGCCTCAGCTCTGTTTCAAAGCAAACCCATCTGTTTGTAGACACCTGGTAACCATTCCATGCCTGTGTCAGAGGAGAGCACTGATGGGAAGGAAGGTGTACCTTTGCACACCATGGACACATTGGAATCTGGACAGATTTTTCCCTCTAGGTGAGGGGAGCACAGCTTATCTTTACCCAAAACATTTAAATGAGCATGGAAACGCAAACTTACTTCAAGCTGGGTAAAGGAAATGCAGTCTGCAGCCTTTAGCAGAAATCTTATTAAAGAGAATTCAATAAAAGATTAACTTCTAAACTCATTTCAGCTCAGGAATGACAATGAAGAGCTTTTTCCTGGTAATCCCCTTACTGCAGCATAGAGGCTTGCTGATAACTGGAGGACTTTTTGTCCAGATGTTGCACGATATCCTGAAGTAAAGCAAGCTTTCGAGTATTTTCTCTTGCCCAGTTTGTTTAGGAACAGCTCAAATATTTTTTATAAAACTGCAAGAGAGCCTGAAAATTTGTAGCATCATGCTTGAGAAGTTTTAAAAGTATCCCCTGATATTTTATTATGAAATTAAAATACAAACACCTATTAAAGATGAAAAGGTATTTGAATGTCAGTTCAACATACCTTCTAGTAGAGCAAATTTTACCTTACTGAAGCTTAAAACTCAACAAAATAAGACTTTCAGATAAAACATTCTCTGCTTAGACATTTCATTCTTGTTGATGCTGAGCACCTTTTAGAGTGCTGAACTCCAGTTAGGAAAGTCCAAGGCTGATGGAGCTCCAGGAGCATTTGGACAACGCTCTCAGCCACAGGCTGGGAATGCTGGGGTGTCTGTGCAGGAATTGTTGGGGTGTCTGTGCAGGGACAGGAGTTGGACTGGATTATTCTTGTGGGTCTCTTCTATAATTCCATGAATCTATAACTATTTTGTTTATTCATTCATTTGTTTGTTTCTTTCTTTTCATGGCTGACAGATGAAGCATTTGGACATCCTTATCCTGCTGCTAAAGAAGCCAAGGAGAAGCTGAGGGAACAGTCCAGAAGGGTTTCTTGAAGTCTTACTTTTAACTATTATTTTTGGTGCAGCAACATCAAAAGTTCCTTTCCAGGTCTACCTCCCACTATAATAAGAGATACATCTCTCACGCAATAAGATCATGAATTGCCTGTCCTCCTTCCTTTTAGCCCACTCTGTGCTCCTGCAAAGTTCTCATCTTCCCTTGAGAAAAACACAGCAAGAACAAGACATTTTGTAAAAAATGGCCAGTAAGAAATTTTTCTGGTTAGGTCTATTCTCATTCTCCAAGAAATGCCAAATACTCTATTTTATGGAGTTTCTCATTCTATAGCCCTTGCACATCACAGACATGTTGATATTTGTTACCTCATACACCAGTGTAAATGAAGAATTCTGGTTATATAATTGCAGTTCTTATTTTCCTGTTCCATGTAAGCACCATGGGCAGAGTAGCATTCTATAGTAGTTTCTTGAAGTTAAATAAAGAGCAGTTCATGGTGCCTGGAAATCTGGAAATCTAGAATGTTCTGTGGCATCTTCTGCTCTTGTTGTCTAAGTTAACTTTAGCTGCTCTTCACTGAAAGTTGAAATATTTGTGCTAGAATTGTAATTAATTAGTTGCAAAAGTTATGAAATTTTGTTTTAACTTTCTATCGCTTGACTTAAAGCAAAGAGAAAGAATCATTTTGCTTAGAGTGATTAATCTTGCATGACTTAAGTAGATTTTGGAAACTTTCAGAAAGGACGAAATTCAAATCTTTACAATGGCTTGTTTTTCAATCTTTAAAATAATACACTCCTATAAGGGAGGCATCTGCTCAACTGCATCATTTCCAGAATGCAGAATGCTCAGAGTTCTTATATTGAAAATGTGTGGTAAATGCACCCATGTATAAGATATGAATCAGGAGATGATCCTGAATTTTGTGGGAGGCTGCGTGAAGTTGAAGATTAATGCAAAGTGGGAACAAGCAGCTAATTGTGTTTCTGAGCTTATTTAATTGTTAAACTAAAAATAATAAAAACATAACACAGAGACCCAAACCACACAGCTGAGCAATCCTTTCAGTTCTGTTGGGGCAAAAAGATGATATCACTAAAAAATAAATATGAATAAATACAGCATATCAGAAGTTGCTTTAGTTAAATATCTCATGTAAAAGCTTTAAAGTTCAGTGAAAACTTAACTGAGAACTTCTTTTTTAAAAGTTGAAAATATAACCCCTGAATCCTGTAGCATTAGAGGAAATGCTGGGGAAAAAATCTGTGAATATAGAGTTCAGATCACAGCAGGGCCTGTCACTGGTGCTGGTTCAGGGGCTTGGCTGGGTGCTGGGAATGCAACATCTTTGGGACATTGATTGAATCATGGAATGGTTTGGACTGGAATGGACCTTAAAGCCCATTCAGTGCCCCCCCCTGCCATGGCAGGGACACCTTCCACTGTCCCAGGCTGCTCCCAGCCCCAGTGTCCAGCCTGGCCTTGGGCACTGCCAGGGATCCAGGGGCAGCCACAGCTGCTCTGGGCACCCTGTGCCAGGGCCTGCCCACCCTGCCAGGGAACAATCCCAGCTCCCCCAGCCTTTCCTCCCAGCAGAGATAGTCTGGAATATGGAACACCATTGTCAGTGTAGTCCTGCAGTGATAACTCTAATCAACCTACCAAAGTACTACTACAGAAATGTATAATTAATAACCATGAAACTTCCAGTTATGAAGTCAGGAATGGCAGTTTTGATATAAGGTGCTGAGATATTGCACAACTGGACTACTAAGAAAACAAATGTAAACATCAAGTCGTGGTGCCCCGGTCTTCATTTCTCAGCAAATTCATCCTTGCCATGAAGAGAGTGTAGTATGCAAGAGGTGAGAATCAGGATTATATTCTACTTCTGAGAGAAAATGCAGGAACTCAGTTAACTTTTGCTGAGATCACATAAAATACCCATGTCTTAATGAATTAATATTTAATATCAAGAAATGAACAGTGATTCAAAACATATACCTTAGGCCTCACATCTGTATCTACTTTATTAATAATCATATTCGCACTTTCAGTGCATAACCCAAATACTCAGTGTTGTTTGTTCATGAACATTGAACCTAAAAAATTAAGGAACTACATAGAAAAGTTTAAAAAACTATTTATACTACCCCAAAAGAGAAGTACAAAATCTTGAGTATGCCAGCTTGATGGCAGGTATGGTGCTGTATTCTATCAGTAAACTGTAGACCAAACTCTAATTCAGTAAATTCAGTGGACTAACTCACTAAATTAGCTCTAAACTCTGGGAAATTCTATGTATGAAGCCTGTTCCAAGAAAAATGGAAATGATTTACTTTAATTTTTATCCTTCTGACAACAGTTTTCACCTGCCTAAGTTTACAGGCTACTTGAATAAAAAGGAAGCTTGAAGCAAATTCACATGAATAGATATGTTCTTAATGTAATTTCATTTTTCATTTAATTTTTTATATGTATTGAGCCCAGATAACCTTCATTAAGGCTGCTTAAAACAGGCGAAAAAGAACAAATTACTTTTATACATATTGAGGAATGTTGTAGAAAGATTGAGGGTCTGTGGTGTCCTTGTCCTGTCAGGATGAAAATTCCTTGTCTTCTCTGGGAAACCTGTTCCTGTGCTCAGTAAGAACCATTCTCTCTATTCGTGTTCTGCCTTTAGATTGTGTTTTCATTTTAATCCAGATATTATTGTGTTTAGAGCTCTGATGTCATGGTTACAGCTGCTTGCTGGCTTCCATGCTGATATTTCTCTGAGATTATTTGGTATAATTGCAGTAGTGTCAATTAGTCAGTGTTATTATCCTGTTTGAACACACGGCAGTTACAGAGCATTAAAATAAATAGCATTTCACAACACTTCTGAGGTGACCAGGATATTAATAATTTGAAATGCTGATGTGGTTTGCTTTAATTTTTTTGTATAAAGTAAATAAGTTCCAAATAATCTATATTTTTTTTAAATCACAAAGTAGTTGTTAAGCACTGAATAAAGCCAGTATTTAAGAACTCTTTATTCTGAAATAAGGTAACAAAATTCTTAAATTTTAATGTATACTGATGTATGTTTAGGGGCAAAAAATTATGCTTTACGTGGAACAACACAAAAAATTAGATCGAAGTAATTTTTCTTCCAACAGTACCTCCAACAGCTGCCTGGTAGTTTCCAGGGCTGAAATTTTTGAATAGGAATGAAGACAAGTGCCAAAGACTGAGGAAAATTCTGGATAAAATATCACCAGAAGCAATTTCAGCAGGATGAGAGAACAGTCATGGGACTGGGCATGCAGCTGAGATTATAATTCACATATTCCAGATCATAATTTCTCTATTTTTTTTTACTGTTAAGGAATTGGGGATTGTGTGGTCATTCAGTCTTACCATCTTCTTCTCTTCACCAATGACAAAGGAATCCTTGGGCCAAGTTCAAGTACCTTAAAAATCCATATGGATTTTGAGCTTCCTATAATGAACATTTAATATGGATAAAAGGAAACTGGGATCATCTAATCAAAAGATTGTAAATTGATCCTTGTATAATGACTTATTCCTGCTAAGGAAGTTTAAAAAATAAAGAAAAATATAAAAATAGAAAATTCAACGCAAAGAGCCTGCTGAATTACTGTAATTTTTGCAACCACACCTCTTGACCACTGGACAGCATAAATTGCATAAAAATTCAGCCTCTCTGAAATCACTGATTTGAAGACTACTATCACTAACGGTAAAAGAATCTTTTCCCTTTAAAAACATGCTCTTAAAATTTGAAAAATAATCATAAAGTCATGTGATTTGTATTGTTTTGAAGATTTTTTTTTGTGAGATAACACTGAAATAATTTCTCTGAAAGACATATGCACTTTTAATTTGATCGACCAACAGATATGGAGTTAAAAAAATGTGGGCACTTCTTTTTCTGGTAATAACTGTTGATGATGATAAAGACATGTTTATATAAATTCATATTTTATAAAAAAGTAAATAAATAAAATGTTAAGCTTTGTAGTGGAGAAGGTTCAGCATGTTTAGACAGGATAAGATAAGATAGGATAAGGATAAGTGGTCAGCCAGTAGGAAGGAAATATCTCTAGCTTATTTTTGAAAATAGGAGTTTGGATTTTAGAATTTTTTTTCTTTTCATTCTTTCTCAAAGACTTTTTTAGTGGACTTTTCTTGTGTTATGGTCCTTTGGCTGCACCCTGAACTCAGCTTTGATGGCTTTGCTCTGCAGTTTATTTTGCTGCTTCTTCAGATAAAAATATATTATTCACTTGTGATTTAAAAAAAAGTAAAAATAGTAGGAATGCCACCATTCAAATTATATTTTCATGACGGTGTGGAAGGGTGATAAACTATAACATCATATTCAAATTCTGTCTAATTGTGATGTGTTCTTGTGACTGTGTGACTATGTTTGTGCTTCTGTTCATTATGATGGAAGAAATCGATGTTTTTCCATGATATCACATCAAACATTAGAGAAGAAAACACAGGAGATGGAGCAAAGAAAGACTTAATAGCTTAACTAAAACAAACTAATTAACCTCCTGGATATACAGAAATTACTTATTAGTAGCTAATTAAATTGATCCTTTAAAAATAACTCATCTGAGAAGAAACTGATAACAAGAAATACTTCAGATTTTTCCTTTTTCCTTTATATTTTTCTTTTTTTTTTGTAAGACTCGCCTTAGAAGTAATACCATGTGAAGCTTTGAGTTTTAAATAATCAACAGATGGTTGACTAATGCCCTGAAAGAGGAGAATGCTCAGAGGAATTTGAGGTACAGTGGCTTTGGTTAGAAAAAGAGTTTTGGTGTAATTTTAAACACATCCTTCAGTATTCTCCCCAGTTACCTGAACTGGGGTGATTTTACCCCCTAATGCATTTACTTCTTTGAACTCTTTTCTTAGAACAAAGTGAAAAAATCGTATTCTGTCTCCACAAATATTACAGTATTTCAGCAGCTGGTTTCATCCTAAATTTTAGCAAATGTTGTAGTTAAAATATTTTTATGAGTGAAAATAGTTGAATGTCATTTGAGAGATCTCAGGTTTGTGAGCCAATAAATCAAACAAATAAAAAATAAACTTTGCTGTCTGATAGTATTGTAGTGTTGGTTAATGTGTGTCTTTGCTCTTTTTTTTTAATTTATTGTGAAAATGTCACTCTTTATGAAAGAATGAAGGGTGGCTTCAGGTTTGGGGAGACCTGCCATGACTGTCCTTTGACAAAAGGAAGACTTGTGAGCAGCCAAGATGACTTCAGTGTTTCAGATCAGCATTCCCTGGCTCTTTCAGCACGACTTCTGTGACATGTCTGGAAATGCTTGAGTATCCCATATGGTATCATTTTATATAATCAGCTCAGAGCAGGTTGCCACAGTGTCCAGCTGTTTAATTTATGATATTTGAATAATTTAGAAGAAACTCCAAGCAATTCTAGAGCTGCAGGTGCTTTGATCAGCAATGCCTTAGAATTTGAGCCTTTTTCTGTGGAAAATTGTCAGAATTCAATTCTTGTGCCATAGAAAGTTGTGGTCAAGAGTTTCTGTTTGGTTCATCATCTCAGCAATTCCTCTCTGATTTATAATGACATTTTTAAACAGCCCTTCTTCAAGACATGATTAGGTCTGATGAGCTGCTATTGATCAGGGGGTGACATTTACTCAGAGCTGTGCATTCAAAGTTCCAATACTCTATAAACATAAATAACAGTGTTCATGATTGTGCAGCCAAGTCTTTAAAGATACCTGAAGAAGCAGCCACTTCAGGGATCACTCTAAAGGGACATTAGCTGGTTAGTAGATAAGATGAGATGCTACTGAGGAGGAATTCTAAAATTCTGCACTTCAAATAAAAATTGAAACTCATTGATATAGATACTGCTGTTAAAATTCATACGATCACAGGATAATCCTGGGTTGCGAGGGACTCACAAGGATCACTGACGTCCTGCACAGAGTAGTACAAGTCCAAAACCTAATGGGATAAAGGAACAATTTTTTAAAAACATAGAGCAGAATTTGTCGCTCTGGAGTCACCACTTCCTTTAGTGCTGGGGCTTTCTGTTTAGATTCTTCTTCTATTTCTTGGTTTTTTGTTACGAAAATTGATGACAGTTCTTGGACCCTAAATTTTGTTGTAGTTATTGTTCTCTCAGTGTAATTTAATCACACTTTTAGTTGTTTGGATTACCAGGTCTTTGCTTTGGCTGTGAACTTCCCTAGGCAGCACTGTGAGCTCGATGTGAGATAGCAGCCATTCTCTCCTGGGTGAAGTCAGGTCACTTGTCATTCCCATGACTAAAGCCAGAAATATTTGTGCCCTTTCCTTATTTTCTGAGAGTTATCTGAATTGTTTGTACACTGTCTTTTCCTGTTTTTCCCCTCTGTATGAGTTTGATAGACTTCTTTCTGGTCCACCTGAATATTCTTTT